ATATAATATATATTTATTGTTGCCCATATGCTTTGTGCCAGACTCTGCCGAAAGCCTTTTTAAAGTCGATGGACATATGATAAAGCTTCTGTTTGTGTTGTGTTGTAAACATACACACAAACATAAATACATAACCATAAATACTTACATACATAAAATCATGCATATGTCAATACACAATTGCATTATAAATATAAATACATGCATATTAATTATATACATAAATACATAACATACATCAATACACACATAAATGCATACATACATAAAGACCCAATGTTAAACAAATACTGCGCAGTTCCACAAATATGCAATTCTTTGAAACCACTGTTCAGCGCCCTGTTTGTTTGTTTGTTTGTTTGTTTGTTTGTTTGTTTTTAAATTATGTTTTGTGCAAGGGGTAATAAAAGATATTCCAAGTAGTCGTTGGTACCGTTTCGATTATGCCTAGAGAGACCAGACAAAGGGTCCCCCAGACCCCGCAAAGTGTGAACCTGCTCATAGCGTAAGGAACACGATAATCTTTTAGCTCTCGTCAGCTCCCACTGTAAGACAGATGACGTCACGAGCCTGCCTTCCTCACGGCAGGAGAAAAAATCTTTATGGATTAGAGATTATTGTGTTCACGTCTGCTGCAGCGGAGCGGCGCTGTGAGGCTATTCGAGTTGGAGATTATAGGCCGGTAATGACAGAGGAACAAAACGGCTATTGATCAGAGGAACACACCGCGCATAATTTACGTAGGCTAGGCTGTTTAATATAATAGATCCGATAGATCTAGCCTTCTTCTGGTATGTTAGGGGGACCTGAGGGTTTTTGTCTTGATCATGTTTCCCTCCCGTGATGCCTTGCGGTCTATAGAGTACATAGGCTCCTACTTGTTTTTATTAGTTGCTGTGTTGGTCGCGTTGCCTTTTCAACTGTCTTTTATTTCATCTCGTATGCGTGTGTTGTTGCTAACAGTCTAGGTTGTGGTGCCGGTGTGGCGAGCGAGCGATCAATATTCTGTACTCAGATTATAATTTTCTTCTGTGGTGAGGTATATTAGTGGTTAAACGAATGGTACAGTATGTCCGTGTTGTTGTACTGTTGTTTTTTGTTGCTGCTGTTGCTGTTGTTGCGGCTGTTGCTGCTGTAGTTTTTGTTGTTATAATGTTTTTGTTGGTCGTGATCGTGGTGTAGCTGTAGCTTTTGTAATCGTCATCATCATCATCATCATCATCATCATCATCATCATCATCATCATCATCATCATCATCATCATCATCATCATCATCATCACCATTATTATTATTA